TTGGGAATTTCTTAAGAAATATACAAGTGGTTTTAGAATGTGTGTGTTTTGAAATTAACACCATCTATTAACAGCGCATGTGTAGAAACAATGGCTGTCTTTCTCAATGGGATCTAATGAATGAAGAAATTTATATATGGAAGTTTTCTCTATTACAGCAGTATACCAGATTTTATCATTGGCAAAAACTTCAGGATACTAAAAATTACATTTATATGATAAATTTATATGAATTTCATCTTATACCTAATTTTAATAAAAATATTTAAAATAACTTATTTACTAGTATAATTTTATTATGCATTATATTGTAAATAAATATAATATAGTTATTGATATTCATTTTTATTTTATTTCAGACATGTGTTTATTTCAAATTTCCATGGATTGTAAAGAAAGATATAATCTAAAAAAAAACAAGATATTGTAAAGTTATAGAGTGCTGTAACTGTAATAGAAATTGTACAGTGATTGATGAATCTTCAAAAACGAAATTGACACCATTGGCAAGATAAAAAAAAAGATTCCAAGGATAATAAACAAGAAAATTTGATTGACCTACAAAAAACTATTTGGGAAAGCTGGTGCCATGAATGTAAATAGAGAGAAAAGATGCCAAATGTGACAGACTTTGGCTAAAGACATGAAGGTAATCAAACTGTCATCTTTAAGTAAACAAAAGAAAATGAAACATGTAATTTAGGTAAAAAAAGTAAGTGAAAACTAATTTCTCAACAGTAATTTTTAATGATTAAAGTAGAGCTATATTGGATGGCCTGGTTGAGTGCTTCATGGAAATAGTCAGCCAACACGAATTTTAAAGACAACAGGAGAGAGGTGGAGCAATGTTTTTGGATAGTATTTTAGGGAGTAGACTAATAGGTACGTACAAAGTTGGTAATAGTGTCAAGATAAATTTAGAGATTTCTTTGTAGGTTCTTAGACAAGACTTTTTGAGTGATATTGATCATAAGCAAAAGTTATAATCTAAAGAGACTATTCAAACAAGGTGAATCACCATCACATTCTGCAAAGCTATTTCCCATCTTACAAAAAATGTTTTGAAGATACCAAGTAAACAGAATGGGTCAAGCCTATCCAGATATTAATCTTATTGGGAATTTGTGGTCCATCATTAAAAGAGATGTATATGAAAACAGAAAACAATATCCTAGGAAAGAAGATTGCTGAGAAGAAAAAACACAACAAACAACTAATTCAAGTAATATTATAGTCAAAATAATTGAATGGTTAACAAAATAAATGATTGAAAGACTGATAAAGGTTATAGAATGTCCAGGAGCCCATATTCACATGTAAAATAATTTATTCATGTATATGGAATATTGTATTAATCAAATGTTTCCATAGACTATAACGTTTGTTGTTTTATAAATATAAATTTATGTAGCACTTAGCTTCTCTGCACAATAAAACCTGATAATCAATTATCAATATTTCTAATAAAAACTGATAAGTTGAAGCTCACATAATATAGTGCTCATAGAATTATCAATACATTCTGAGAATTTTACCATCATTGGTTAGTTAATACCAATTTTATTGCATAATAAAATCTATGTAAATGAAAAAAAATAGTTACATGGAAGTGCATGTGCATATATACATATTGGATGTATTTGGGCAGCATTTTTTAATTCATTTAAGTTTGACTGTAGACTAATAAAAGTTAATATTTTTTAATGTAATAATTTTCCTATAGTTCAAACCATTTACAGGGTTTACAGGGAGAATTTGAAAATAAATTGTCCAATGTCTCTTGAGACATTATCAAATCTTAAACAAGGAATTTTTGTTGATCATATACACACACATATATGATAAAAATATAGATTTAAGGTATGCTTCATTTATGAGAAAGTGGTATCAGGGATAGAGTGTATGTAAATATAAAAGTGGACATTGAGGTCAACACTCAGTTTATGCTTAAATGCAATTGCCAGGTCTGATGATTGCCTTTAAGCATTAAAAACCCACTGAGTGTTGGCCCCATTGTCCACTTATATATATATATATATATATATATATATATATATATATATATATATATATAAAAAGTAAGATTGTCCACACACACTTGCCTAAAAATCCTGATTTTTAACATTTTTTTTCTCATCAATCTTTTATTTGCTCAAAAGGCCTACTAATATAAAATAAATATTATTAGTCTTATCAATATTATTTTTGTTTTTTTATTTTTCAAATTTCTTTTCCTACTATATCAATACCTATATATGAAAGCCATCTTATTTACTATAAAGATTTACTATCCATTACAATTTTCTTACAATAATTAAAATTTTTGAAGTTAACAGTAAAAGTAAATATATGCCTATAATATATAACTTCAAACCCATAAGTGCAATAGGCTTTATCAGTTTATTGAGTCCAAAATGATCAATATAACCAATGATCAATCTTCCAAAAAAAAAAAAACAAACTGCAAAATCTTTTAATAGCTTAAAATAATTATAAAACACAAGAATTTTTGTGTAATGTCCCCTAATCCTTATGAACTAAAAACAAACACTTGGATGTTGCAGTCACAACCTGGCAGTTAAACTTTAACCAAATTGTGATCAACTGAGTTATGTAATAGTTGCTGTTGGGTTTATTTCCTCTTCATGAAAATGATTTATGATAGAAGAGGAATGATTTATTTTTCTAAAGGAATCTTAAGAAAACAAGTTGAATGAGAGATCAAAGGGTACTTTAAAATAATCTTGACCTAAGTGCAGCAGAATAGCCTTATTATTGATAGAGTTGGAAAATGCAAAAGAAAATTATTTCTGAAAATTATTTTGTAAGAGTTTTTCCTATTTCAATTACTTCTATCACTTGTATCAGTTTCTATGGAAAATTGTAACATCAGTTTGTTTATAGTAAATATTAATTCCATTATTTTCAAATAAAAGTATGAAGAATAATATAAATTATTTATGAATTCTAATTAAGGCAAACTTCATCAGTTTTTAATGAGATCAGAATTAGAAGTCTTAATTAATTTTTAATGATAACCTCAGAAACTGTAAATCCAGTCATTTAGAAAGAAGTGTAGATTGTGCTTAATTGTTAAATTGATCATATTTATGAAGTATGTACATCAAAGCTGGGAAGGCTGTTAGTACTGGGCCCATTAGAATAGGCAGGCTGTATAAATTTATGTGACCAGGGAACAAGAAATTCTTAACACATAGAGGTAGATGCCAGTTCTTCAGGCTCTGTGTGTTAAATTACAAGAGCAAATCTTACAGCTAAGTGACCCCTGACCTACCACCAGAGAAATAGAACAAAAAACTGAGAGTTCTTTCTCCAAAGATAAGATAATCAAAATTTTTTTAATAATTAAAAAACTTTTGAAGAACAGCCTCCAACAATCCTATTTCTGAAAATAATCAGTAAAAGGAGGAAAAGTTATCCTCACTTTGACATTCTGTTTAAAAATGAGTGTAAAAAAATTAGATATTTAACAAATAAAATAAAAAAAACGTAATTTAAAAAAATATTTTTTTTGTAAATGACTATCCTGATATGCCATTTAGTTTTTAATGTAGACTTAGAACTAAAATCATGTTCAAAATAAAAGAAAAAGACAAAAGCAAATCTTTTTGACACAAAACAGTGATGAGAATGAAAGCAAAAATTGCAGTGTGAAGTGAGGGGGTGGTGGAGAGCAGTTGAGAAAACAAAACCATTTCAAGTTATTCAATAATTGGCCAGTTAATCAATCAGCTCCTCACAACTAAGTGAGCAAGCAGAAATTGATGCCTATTATTGTTCTATCCAGTCTCAGAAAAAAAGAATGACCACTGGGCAAATTGCTAAGTTATTTATTCAATAAAAAAAGGTAAGTAAACAGTGGAAAATACTTAAGAACTGTCTGCCTATTTCTAAAATATTTTAACTCTTCAGTTTTGAAATTCCAGATTTGTATCCACTTTTACAAAGTCAACAGTTAGTGAATGTTTGAAAACTGATTAATTCTGAAATTCTTGTGGACTGTGATTTTACCAGGTGAAAAAACAAAGAAATGTCCTTTTATTTATAATTCAACTGTCTTGATAAATGAGCCAGTAAAACTAGTTATTTTGAAAATACAACACCTTAGTTGTATGCGTTTATTTGGACAGGCAGAACAGGTCTTCTTGTGGCAGAGTAGACTGGAACAGCTCCCTCCAACCAACAACAAAAACCAGACCAACAAGTCCAGGAATTGAAATTTCTATTCATAAGATTCAAGATAAATAAAAAAATGCTCTTCTTTATTTAAGCTCAAATTTATAAAGATTTATTCTTATTTCGTTAGCTTTCTCTTAAATAGAAACATCTCTATAATTTCTATTCATTGTTATATATGTTATAAATTTTTAAGAGCATCTTACTGTGAAAAATAGTTTAAGGAAAGCCCAGAAAACATTCTTTCTTCACCCAGGATAGAAGAAAAAAGGTTGTGGATGTAAGCAAAGAGCCAGAAAAACCTGAACATCTCAAAGATTTAAGATGTTAACAGTTAAATGGTAATATTTTTCTTATTAAAAAAAGAAAAAGGGTAAAATTTAAAACAAAAAGTCATCAGAAGGTGACAATATTTTTCTACCAAAAGATGGAATTTCTTTTTATGTTGATTTTTTTGTTTTAAATTGGAACTCATTTTTTTCACAAATTTCAAAAAATAAATAATTTTTTGTGGAAAAAGGCACACAATATAAGATATTTGAGGGTCAATAAATAAATAAATAAATAATAATCAAAATCTGGAGAGAAAAAGAAACAAAAGAGAATAACAACAAATTGTGTGTGTGTGTGTTTGTGGATACTGAGTGAATTACAGGGATGTTTTTCTTTAACCAAAAAGGAGATACTGGACTGGTTTTTGATTATTGAGCATCTTCTTTTTTGAGGATTGGTCACTGTTGACGATCGAACCAGTAGTAATCAATCATCACAGTAGCCGGATTGGTTAATTACCAGTGTTAGGGTCATTTGCGGGCCTTTTTCGGCAAACTGGGTTGTGTTAACTCTGAGATTGTTGCTGGATCCGTGGTAGAGTTTGTAGTAAACTGCAAAAGTTGGGACCCTGCTAAGGGAACAGGAATCGTAATGATTTGTTGGGCCCCGGCTGCGGTCTGTTCGGTTGAATTTCCGACCGAGATGGCCGGTTGTTGAAAGTTAAAGATAGAACCATCCGATAGGGTGGCTGTAGTCGGAGTGGCGTAAACCACACCTTGGGGTGTTTGATACATCACAATTCCATGGGTTACTGCCCCAGATCCCCCTGTAGTCGTGGGCACTGACATGAAGCTAACAGAGTTCTGGTTATTGTTGTTGTTGGTGGTGGTTGTGGAAGATGAGGATGAAGTGGCCGTTGAAGGAGTTACTACCTGAACAGTGTCCCCACTTACAGTTGTAGGGCTACTCAGGGAGCCATTGCTACTGTTAGTGGGCATACTGGGGATGGAGACTACCTGAGAGTTGGGTAAACGGTACATCGTCTGGGGTGTTGTTGCTGTCTGGGTCAACTGCTGGTTTCCTTGTTGAATGGGAATCGTAAACTGGGTACCAGGTTGGAGGATGGCAGTCAGACTAGGAGGGACTTGCATAGAGATGTTGGTCGCCGAATTGGGGTTGGCATTGTTTGGAGATGGGTTAGAAACGACAACACTCGGCTTTGATGAAGTGGTCACAGTGGTAGACGAAGAGACCGTAGAAGGCGCCAGAGAAGCCATCTGGGCCTGAGTGAGGGCTGCTGAGCTGACATATACAGATGATGAAGACGATGTACCTGTCGGATTGGCAATACTAGGTGCTTGGGACCGATTCAGTACTTGGTCCCCGGGCATTTGCGCCAGAATAGGTTTTATATCCGCTTTGCTTTCATCTTCAACGGAGTAAGTAAGTTCAGTTTCCTCGAAACCTGTGGGGTTCATCCGTTGTTGATGAGCAGGTCCATCTGCTGAGGAGTCTGGAGAGTTTAGACACGTCTGAATGAGGGCTTTGCCGCTCTCACTAGTAATCATAGGTTGAAGTTTGCGTGTAGCGAACGTATAAACATGTCCTGTTTCGCTAGCTACTAACAGCATCACTTGGGTACCTGTCAGAGTGGACAGTTCATAAGCTTTCTTCATTATGCCAGTCTTTCGTTTGCTAAAAGTCGTATATCTGCGAAGCTTATTTTCAATAAATTCCATTTTAATTTTCACACGTCCCTTCGTCTTTTTGCCGGGCTTCAAACCGTCAGGGGGTCTCTTAGCTTGCTGTGGGTGTCCACCCGAACCGGGTTGCTGTGGATGGACCTGACCAGACAACATCATCTCATCAGTCATATACTCACTTTCTGATTCCGAATCGGAATTTTCATCGGCCATTTCGTTGTTGGAATGTGTCGGGGCTATCGTTGTTGGCATCTTCATCCTGTTCGCGGTTGGCGCAAGGCTGATGATGGCGTCTCTGGAACCAGCCCCGCCCGGAGGGGTCGGCGTGCTAGACGATGGACTCTTCAGGGCTCCCTGATCCACTAGCAGCCCGCCGCCATTGTTTATGCCATCTGAATGGACGTACTGCGACACTGCTATCGTTTCACACTGACTCGATGTCTGCATTGTCAAAACCGTAAAGGAATAATTTACCAAATTAAAACAGCAGCAATCGGTCGGCACGCCATAACGGGAAGACTGGGTAAAAGCACTGCCAACTCAATTTCGTCTTGCGCGAGAATGAAAGAAATATAGTTCTTATGTAGAAATGATTTGAAGGCAACTTTTAAAATAGAAATCCATTAAATTGTGAAGCTTCAATAATTGTTTAACATTTATGATGTCACTTTCAAGCGTAATCCGTTGTTTTGAATTGATCTCAGTGAATGAGTATCGAAGATGAGCGCGTATTAATCGTGAAAGGCTGGCCGTGTTGTATTACCCGTATCAAGTTTGGAAGTACGGGGTTCCCATATATGGATGGCACGGCCAAATATGGCGCAGCTGGAATGTCGAGTCGAGAGACCCGCCCCTGCCTTCCTTGCTATGGACGACTCGTTTATTACTACTACTATTTCTTTAGCTCCTATTAGTATTATTATGACGACCCACACGCTTGTGGCTGTGCAAGAAATCTAGTTGGTGTTAGCTCTCTCGTTTCTACTGCTACTATTTTTCACAGCGGCAGCCAAAGCAACGATCAAAAATACAAAAAACTGAGAAACACAACCGTCTACTCTAACGTTCTACTTTCATGTGACTACGGAGGCTTCGAAGTGCTATCGTCATCAACAATATTCCCTTGTTATTTTTTTTACGCCTGGTTATATTGTTAGTTAACTATCATTTTTTTTTCTTTAATACCTCCGTGTCTATTCACCATGCCACACGTTAAACATTGAAATAACAAAAATCAGAATAATTTTTCTATGCTTGGAAATCAAAGATTTTTTTTCTTTTTATTAAAAAAATGTTTTAATGTTCATGCCTTCAGATTTATTGCTTTTCAGGAAATTCATATTTGTCTGACTACAGTTTTTGTCTATCATTTTGCATAGAAAGTAAAATTGGAAATAATTACTGCAGATAAAAAAACAGAAACTTTTGTTTGGTCAATACTTGATTTTATTTTAAGAAAATGTACTGTTATCGGTGATTAATTATTTATTCCCTAAAAAAGTATATACGATTTTTTTTTGTCCAGCAAAAAAGAACAAAAGATTTTTACCAGCATAATTCAACCTTATACATTTCATTTCTGTCTATTTTTAGAAAACTGATTAAATAATTTCTAACACATTACCAATTATTTTAAAAATGAAACTGATTTTTTAATGAACTTTTTTTTAATTAGAAAATTAAAAAATAAATTAAGAGAGAAGGAATAATAAAATCTGAAAATTTTGTACTTAAAGTACAAAATATTCAGATTTTATTTGTTTATGATTTACTGAGAAAAAAAATCAGATGAAATTAATTGCAAGCAACTTTTGAGACATTTTCACAACTTGATTTTTCAGTTGTTAACCAATCATTTCCAAATAAACACCTTTTAAATTGTACCAAAATATAAGCACATATAGAAAGTAAAAAAGGAGTGTTTAAAAAAATAATTATAAAAAGAAAATCAGAGGTTAGTTAAAAAATGACTTGATTAAAATTGGTGCGTAGAACTTTGTATAGGTGAGGCTCATATCTGATGTGGTAAATATCACTAAAATGAAGCCTTAGGGTTTATGAAAAAGATATGAGTGTTGAATTTCGTTTTTGAATTTATAAATAAAGAGGCTCAAGTCTTCTGGTCTCAAAACCTGCCAAACACGTTTGCAAAGAGGTATGGTTTAAAAATGCATTCTGTGATTTTTTAATCAATGGGGAAAGTAAATGATGAACTCAAAGTATCAATTTTCTCTTTCAACTGGGAGCTGATTCATGGCTATTTAAGAAATCTGGCTTGCCAGACTGACAAAAAAGACTTAGCTTTCACATGTGAAGGTGGCTAGCTGGCTGCTGGGAAGCAGAAAGCAGAAGGATATTAGCTTTTGCAGGTGAAAGTTGCTAGCAGCTGCTAGGGGAGCAAAAGGCTGAATAGTTTCAGGCTACTATAATGATGAAAAGAACAATGAATAAGTAAAATCTGACTGTCATCTCTGACAATGAACAAGAATCTGAAAGAAAAGGAAACAAAAGAAATTAAAATCAGAAAAAACTGGAAGAAGATTCATGAAATGAAAGGTATTAACCCTGATTTTCAGTTTTTATAAAAAAATGAGATCTGTTGGGTTAACCCCTCCTAATTTTCAAAACTGCTCCTAGAAGATGCTCTCAAGACTATAAAAACTCTGCAATACTTTTCTCATTTTCTTCTTACCTTATCTGCTTATCTGTCAATATGTAACCTCTGGCGAAGAACATGCTTCCCTTTGGGAAACACATGAACAATATATACACACACATTTATGTACACACATTCACTCACTATACATACTTAGGACCAAAAACAGTTTTCACATTCATTTGATACACACATCTTTGTCTTCATCACTTGTATACCTTTGTTGTTAATACATTATCATTTGTTTATACATATATACTGGTTCTTGTCATTTCTTTATGTGGACTCACATCCCAAGTCCGCAATGTTTTCAGGAGACAGTGTGTTATTTCTCAACTCAAACACCGATGAAACTAATACCTGCAATAAGTTGGGAAGTGTATATTACCGGCCTGCAACAGATCTATCTCAAACTGAATTTCAGTTTAAAAATTGAACTATTGTTTAATTTACCCAGCAATGCTTGTGAATTTGCCATCCTTCTCAGAGATGTTTGACTGTTGAATGCATGAAAGTAAGTGAATATTTTTTGAAAAATATAATAGTTTTTACCTTTTATGGGCCTAACATATTGTAATTTTTAGAACTTGTTATCTTGCCTAATTTTGTTCAGATTTTTAAATTTCTATTCTGTTTTATTGTGTTTTGTGCTATTTAATAAATGTAAATTTCTTTCTAAGTTCACATTGGAGTAGGAGTTGTTTTGTTTTTGTTTCTGCCTTTCACAATATTTAGGATAAGGTATGTTCTCTCTTCTCTTCGCCCAATAAAATTAATATATATATATATATATATATATATATTAGAGCTTTAAAAATGGACATTTTAAAAGTATATATAAATTATAAAAAAATATATAAAACAAAGAGGGTGAAAAAGAATAAGAGAAAAATTACTCACCATAAATTGTTGGATTAAAAAATATATAACCACAAAAAAAGACCTAACCAGTTATTTCTCCTCTCTCTTCAGAGCCAGTTAAGGATAAAAACAATGTGCAGTGATTAAAAAAAGGAAAGAAAAAAGAATTGCAACTAGAGAATCCAATCCATAGTTTGCTTTCTCTTCCCAACCTATGATGAAATCGATTCATAATTTTGTACTGGCCCTCTTCATCATGTTAGTTTAATGATTTATAATTAAAAATGTAAATGTAATGCTAAATATATTGGTAAAACTAATCAGAAGTTCGAGGTTAGGATTAATCAGCACCTACTAGCTAAAATCTCTTGAGGGTAGTATGAAAATTTATATATCTTTGTTAATACTTCTGGTTCTGCAATTGCAGAACACTTAATAAATAATTCTTTTTGTGCCTTGTCTTTCACTGGAGTTTTTTTCACAGTATTCAGTAGAGCATATTCAGATTACCATCTGAGAGTTCATGAGTCCATTTATATTGTGTCTAAGCAGCCTTCCCTCCTGTAAGATGAAGGAATCACTGCTAGTACTAAATGTAATTTTTTTGTAATTTATAGTTCTATTTCTTTGTGCATATAATTATATGCTTTATACTCAATTTGCTCTGAAGTGTGATGTGCAGTAACCTGTTTGCCCTTTTTCGTTGTTTCTTTTTTGTTGTTTTTTATGTTGTGGCTGTAGGTATTAACACTATATGGTAACTGTCAGTTTTATGCTTCAATACAATCACACTAAGTTCTGAAGATTTCACTGAAGCATGAAACTGTCACCATGCAGTGTTGATTTGTATGCCAACAGAGTCTGTATAAGTGATGATATTGAGCACTTTTCTGAAACATGGCAAATTTTAAAGACACTCTCTCTCTCTCTCTCTCTCTTTCTCTCTCTCTCTCTATATATATATATATAAAGTTGTAGTCTCTGTTTGTTTGTTATCAAACTCCTCCTAGGGTTTTGGAGATAGACCCCCGTAACCACATGTATTCTGAAATTACATTACCCAGGGTACTTGGATAAGTATATTTCATTTTGATCAAAGAGGAGGCCCTGGGGAGGAACAAACCCACCACTTAAATTTTTTTTCGGTTTGATATAAATTAAATTTAAATTTGAACAAGGGAATGTCTCCTAGAATACTTGGATAAGTATATTTCATTTTGACCAATGGGGTCCCGGTGGTGTCACAAACCCCCAACTGAAAAATGTTTTTCCCTTTTATTTTAATTAAATTTAAATTTGAACAAGGGAATGACTCATATCCAAAATATAGAAAAAGAAAGCCAGAAGATGGCGGTCTCATTGGCAAAATCATTGAGTAATAATGAAATGCATCATTTTTCTCAACAAATTATAACAATGATTTAAAATCAATCATTTTCTTACAAAAAAATGTGTGACATGCAGCAAGGGATAGTAATTCGTCTAGTATATATATATATATATATATATATATATATATATATATGTGTGTATGTGTGTGTGTGTTTGTGTGTACATACATTTTACATTGAAATGTTTCCCATTGTGGTTGACAACTTAAAAACTAGCAGCCATAGAAAGAAAGTGCTTGTATTTCACAAATAAAACTGAACTCAATTTTCATTTTTAGACTTGCATCACCATATTTACTCAGTTGTCTTAAGTGAGAGTTTTAAATGAAGTCATAAAATTGTCTGCATTCTTAATACTAAGACAACACAAACAATTTGTAGACATTGAAGAATACCTATAAGAAGTAATTTCTAGCAGATTTATTGCATAGAATTAAGGCATGAACTTTTGTATAAATTGAGAGCCATAAATCATAATAATATTAAACCGTTCCAAATGATATATTTACTTTGGGCTTGAGTTTAGAAAATTACTCTGA